ATATACTGAATCTTTTTGCTTGTGAACTTGAGACATGTGAACAACTTCCTTGAAGCTAGAATAAGGAGGGTGTTTGTAGACTCTGCACATCTGCAGTCGTTTGGCTTTAATACCCTCTTCTGCTTAGGTCTGCAAACAGGTTATACCGCATCCTTGAAAAGGTACAATTCCCTCTCCTATGCTTAGTGATTTCAGATTATATTAAATTCCCACTGAGAGGTGGATTTAATCTGTTGTTCAGGGGCTAGAGTTCCCCCACTATACCACCACATAAGGTCCATAAGGCAGAAGGACCTGACCCACGCGAGCCAGGACTGCAAACACTTTGCGAGATCAAAGCAGTGGAAGCCGCCCAGGGCATCACCTGACCTGAATTCAATTAAAGCTTTACAGGCAGATCAGAGAGCAGCCTATGAAAGAAAATTGCAGCCTCACATAGCATAAAGGACAAAACTCAGAGAGAGAACAAACAGAGCATCATTTAAAGAAGACAGATGAAATATTGCACACTCATTCTCGGACACAAAAGGCTTGTTTTCATCTTCCCTCCTTCCCTCTGTTCCACAAATCTGCCCTGCGAGCCCATAGGTCTCCTTTGTTTACTCAGCCTGTGGGCATGTGTGACTTTAATGAGCCAATGCTGAACGGACGTTACGTAAGAATTCTCACACATTTGCTCCGGCTCAACTGCCCCTTTCTTTGCTCTGGCATTTTTTGGAAGCCCCCTCCCAGCATGGTGTCAAGTTTAGCTGTTGGCCACATGTTCAGGAAGACGTTTGCTTCAGCAAAGTTCACCATTTAACTCTAGATGGGGTCACGAGAGCATGTCTGTTAAAATATAAACTTGCAATGATAAAACAATTATGGTTCATCCATTTCCTTTATCGCCAGATCGCAGTGCAGCATTTGAGGCAGCTAATTTCAACACACAGATTGATGGACTGAAAAGAAAAAACAGGATGTGATTGTTTTTCTTGCTGTGCCAGATTCGTTCATTTTTACTTCCATTTTTAGTGTTATGCTTATTTTTAGTGCCTGTGCTTCCATTTGTCAGGTGGCCACTATCACACTAAAACTCCTCCACTAAAGATAAATGATTGTATTCTATTCTGTTTCTTCATAGATCTGGGATCAGATCTAGATCAGGGGTTCCCAAAGTGTGCTCCATAGGCCGTTTGCAGCCCCTGAAATTATTTTCTGTGGCCCCTAATTGAAATTTGAGAATGAAACTATTTTGATCCACAAGCAAAGATGGTTGGCACAGATGGTGTTTATTTTTTAGGACAAAATTATGAGAGAAAAGAAACAAGTTAGGCACAACACAAGATATGAAACCAGCTTTTTAGCATTTTCTTTATTTAGTGAATCCGACCGCATGCATCCAAGGACTTTTACTCTAAACAAACTTTAATGCACCCAAATCTGCATTTGATTAATTTATTACGTTTGACCAAACACAGCAGGTGTTTTCAGACAGACTGACCCAAATCCTGTTCCTCAGCTGAAAATAGACACATTTTGTGTGTACTGATTTCCAAATGAGTCTCAAGGAATTTGCAAATATCTTCCTTTTAATGATGCAAAACTGCTTTTAAAATGTTGGCTCGACATTGCTCTACACATTTCTTTTCTACTTTGATTTGTTGAAATATTGCATTCTGAGTTTATTCTTGAGCAGATCAAATAAATTGACCAAATTATATTTTGTAGCGTTAGCTCTTAGAATACTTATAGTTTTTGGCCCATTTGCACTTTTGTCTTGATGATTTCAGTCCATGTGAGAAATCTAGCTCTAGATGAACCATGACCATGTGAGGGGCTCCACAAGGCTCTGTGATTTATCTGTGATTCACAATTTATTTATTTGTTCAAATTCATCTGTTAAGGAGAGGAAGGGTCAAATCAGAATCTCCTCTATTTTAGTGCAGGGCGAGCAGAAGTCTTTTTGTTTTTGGTTGAGTAAATGCATGCTTACAGAATAGTACTAAACGAAAATTTATGAGTCCACAGAACATAAATGAAACTTTTAACAACCATATGAATAAATCTGACTACATAATGGAATCAACTGAATGATCTTTTAAAGCTATTTTTGTGTAGTGTTTTTTTATGACAGCTAAAACAGACAAGAAATAGGAGAGAAAAAAGAGAGATGGAAAGAGAGTGAGAGAGGACAAGAACCCATTTGAGGAAATTGATTTGTTTAAGTGAAGTTGAGAAGTTTTAGACATTTAGTTAAATTTGCATCAAGCGGTGTGCGATAAGCTTTAAAAGGAAATAAGTTTTGTACTGATTTAGTACTGAAATGTTCTCACTCACTAATCTTAGACAACTTTGCAAAAACAATTCTGGTAACAAGCTCGCATGAGACCAACTAATTAGATTTTATAGTGTAAAGCCATCTTTAAGTCATTGCCAAAATGACATGTCTGCATATATATAAATAACACACGCACACACTTCTGAAAAGTGTGGCATGTGCTTTACTTTGTGTTGGTCTTTCACATAAAATTCCATATAAACAAAACAAAACAAAAACAAAAAAAATATGCTGCTGTTATCTGGCATAAATTATTTTTTTTTATGCCAGAAACTGCACGTGCATGGAGGCTTTCACAAGCTTCTGCAGAATCTGCGCAGCCAACAATTTTAATGACTCTATTAGGTTACAAACTATCAGCGTGAAATGATCAGATAAGCAGAAACCAGCGCAAAACATCCACCCTGATATCACCGATGCTGTTATCTTCTCTCAGTCCTGCATCGTACCGAGGAGAGAGCAGCAACACCGCGATCTTTACTGTTCTCGTCTGCCTCTCAGCGCCTGGACGGATCGCGATATTTCCTAAGTCACCTGAAGGCAGCCACAGCATGCCACCCCACCTGTGCCATTCTGCTGGAGACGCGGAGTGAAGCACATCCTCTCCTGTACAGCAGCACTATGCAGGATCAGTGTGAGCTGGTCGACTCTGAAGGACTGAGGACGAGCGGAGCTTCCTGCTGAACGGGAGTCCATCATGTGAGACAGCCAGGATTCATGGGAGGTAAACTTTAGAGGTGGGTAAAAATGTATCCTGGTGTGATCTTTCTCAATGATTTTTTTTTTTTTACTATATGCCTACTTTTGTTTTAAAAAAAAACTTTCGACTCAACAGCATCTTTAACAGTGCTTCAGTGCGCTCGCCCAGAAACGCGCACGCGGACACGTACACTTTGTAAGAGGCATGGCACGCGCGCACACAACACTTTCATCAGCAGCGGATGTTGACAGGTTGTCAAGTAAGCCGCGAGCAGCACAGGCTTTTCCTTCGAGGGGCGCATCAGCTGCGTCTCCGCGGTCCGGACCAGAGCAGTGACACAGCGCCATCCGCAGCACGGCAGCTCCGGCCGGAAGAGGGAGATCCAGGAAAGTCCGGGAGACTGACCCGAGAGGGGGCTGAGGGCGTCTCCATGCTGCGATAATGGCACGGCATCAGTGCAGGACGCGTTTCCAGCCTGACCACTGGATATTAGAGAGAAGAAAAAAACACACGCACACACAAAAAGTACAACACAGCATACATCCGGGCAACTTTCTTAGCAATTGGAATCATGGGGCAACTGAATTTGACTGTATTGTTTCAATAATAGGATCACATTGCACAATTAGATAGATAGATAAATAGATAGATAGATAGATAGATAGATAGATAGATAGATAGATAGATAGATAGATAGATAGATAGATAGATAGATAGATAGATAGATAGATAGTTTTTGCTAAAGCAGCAACAAAAGGCAAACAGTTACACATTATTAAAAAACCCACAATATGTAAAATATGATTACCTTTGTCACATGTCATAAGTATCTTAAAATCGATATATATAGATGTTAGGTTGATCAATTTATACTCCGGTATGGATTATTGGAGAGAGTTATTGAAAATGAGAGAAATGATTTTGAAAATACTTTGGATTAAAATAGGTTATAAAAAAAAATATGTGTTTTAATTTGGCAATATACAAAACAATCTGAGTCGGATCAATATGGAAAGCTTTAATCTAAAAAATGCACAACATATGACCCACATGGTAATCCTCATTTGGGGAGACTGACTGTGCTTTCTATATAAACTTTGGCTTTTCGTCAAATTAAGCTAAAATGAAATGTAATTAAAATAGATTATGTTCTTATTGCCTAGAAGACATGCACAAAGTAGGCTGAATTGAGGTTACAGAGGAATTATCCTTTGTTTTAGCAGCATAGCAAGGTCACACAAACAATATAGAGTAGAATGGGGTCCTTAGGGATGTTAATTTGAAGTGAAAATTCAATGATTTTCAAGATTAGCCCTATTTATACATCAAATATTAATCTGATTTTTATTAACTTCAAAAAGCGCATGATATTGGCCATTAACAGATAATGGTGAGAGATTAAGCTTTTAAGGCATTTAGTGAATATGAAAGAAAAAAATCTACTTTTTCTGAGCCAAACAAAGAAAAATTGGCCAATTCCAATCTTTGACTGATGGTCGGTGCCTTTATAGCGGAATAGTATGAAGTCAATGATGACATACAAAGACTTGGTTGTCAGGTGGTTCGTCTAATCAATTGAATTATCACAAATTGACTTTTTATAAGTTAGAAAACAACAGCTTCTACAAGTATTATTCAAAATAGCTCTTAATAAATACACATCTAAATGTACCACAAATATGCAAATATATTGATGCATATTTTGTATCAGTCGTCACACGTTCGCATTATTAGACGCTATCAAAGAGGTTTAGCAATTGACAAAATATTCCCGGTAAAGCGGAGCAGGGACAGCCTGGCGCCCGCTCCGGCGCCGCGCCGCGCCGCGCCGCGCCGCGCTGCTGCTGCCGCCGGTGCCAGCCTGGTAAGTAGATCCGGACGTGCGCAGCGCGGAGAGATATTTTTTCAAGTGGGAGAGAGAAAGGAGCGTGGTGGGGAGCGAGTGAGTGAGCGTGGAAAAAACAGAGCCTGCCGACTGGTGACAGAAGGAGTAACGGAGAGGAGAGAAGTCCACGTATTACCATGCGGAGATTTGGACTACAGAAACTTCATGCCAAACCTCCGAATATTCGAGATTATTAATAATAAGAGAGGTACGTTGTTTCCTATCCTAACGGGCTTCCCTTAATTGGCCGCTTTCGCATCTTTTTAAGGTGGAGAAAAGTTGACGCTATTGTGAGCTTCGGGCTGTGGAAAGCAGCCGCTGCTGCTCGCCTCCTCCACAGAAGTTTGCTGCGAACAAAACAAACTATTTAAATCCAACTTCGAGATCACAAGCGCACATACCGGTCACTCTGAGGAAGGTTTTTACGCTGTTTGCTCCTGTGCTGTGGCTTTTCGTTTTTTATAAAGCAAATCTCTGCCCGGCGCTCGCTGCCGTCGTTCCAAGCAGTGAATGGGAGAGTTGGGGGATGGGGCTGGAAATGAAAGACTTTCCAGGCACCTAACTTATTATCTTCGACTGTTAACTTTTATTTCTTAACCAAAGCAGCTTACGTTCGTTGCCAGATGCATTCAAGCAAAAGGTTCGAATTACAGACTTTTTTTTTTTTTTTCGGGGACTGGAAATAGAAACGAAGTTGATGTGAGCGTTTCACAATGCGCTTCCTCAAGATGGTTCTTTTCATACCTGCAGGGAGTATTTTCTGATTTAAGGTGTGTTTGCTCTCACACCGCGTCACTTATTAACCTGCAGAAAGCCTTAATAACTGAACCGTACCAGGGTGATTTGTGACACGCCAAAAGTCAATAATGTATTATTTTTGTGTGTGTGTATGAGAAGCATTCCTGCGCAGACATGGCAACGTCTTGCTTTTTATTTGTCTTTGTATGGACTCCCACACAGCCAGAGGGAGACTGGAAAAGCGGCTCCCAACAGTTTCCCAGTCGCCGCGGCGCTGATTTTTCTTCAACCCCTTCATGCCGTACAGATCGCCTCTGTTTATTTTTCTTCAATATTTCGCCTGCATTTATTACATTGCAGTTTTACAGCTGCCTAGAGAGCTTTCTGTAAACTCAGTCACTTTAGCTTTAGATTGTCACCAGCAGAACTTGAACATTTGATATATTTGCTTTGCTATTTTATGTAAATGAAAGAGATATTGTGATATACCTTCTTGAAAGTCAGGCGTTTATGCATTATTCCAATGACATGACAGAAGCCATCAGGGGCCTTATTGGAGTGGTTTTACTTTGTTTTTCTTAAGTTGCATGTTTTCAATCAAATGCATCTTTATGTTGCCGCATTTGACTGTTTATGTACAGTAACACCTTTGAGCCATGTGGCAACTTTGCATGGATTTTCACCAAATTATGCAACAGTCAAACACATGAAAGCAGTTTTTAAAGTGGAGCAGGGCAGAACGGATATGCCAGATTATATTATCTGTAATCACACAAATGGCAAATGTATATAAAAACTCAAACTGATTAGTAGAAATCTCTTCATAATCCTTTATGAATTTTCCATCCAATGTTGTGCTTTGCTTCGCTGCTGTGTCCATCTTGGAGAAATCGCTTGTAACTCAAATGCAACTTTGGCACTCCACAATATGCCTTAAAATGTTTAAAGAAACTGCTCATCCTTCATAACGTTTATGAATACCAACTGATCAAGGTTAAAGTTGATACCTCTTGTGATGTCATCAACCCATGTATGCACAACACCAGACAAGTATTTTTATAGTGCTTCTTAAAAACTGAATGTTTTTTAAATCCTGCAGTGGAAATGTACACTTCACTCCCCAGCTTACATTTTATTTGATCAGTTTACATTTTATTAGAGTAAAAGAAAATGCACACAACCCCTGTCTTTAAAAGTAAGGAGTGTCTATAAATGGTGTTCTCTGCCTTATTTTAATTCCAGAATATAAAATATGTGAAACACATTTTACCCCTTTTTATTTATTTTGGGTATGCTTTACACATTTGAGTTGACTCTAACATTGAGAGGGTGTATAGTTGCTATCTTGGCAATGTGCTCATAATAGGCGCACTGACAGCTCAGATCTGTCATCCGATTGGCTGCTCTGCTTCATCCTATTTCCACATGGAACATCAAGCCACTCACCAGCCTGGCCCACATTTGTTAAGTCATTTAAGGTAGTCTGGTTTCTTGCAATTGTTGTCTTTAATTGTGATCCCAGTTGATGTCTTCTATCTGTTGAAATTAATTATTTTTTTTCTGATGTTGCTCTGTTCCAGGTGGCTCTGTGAAGATCCCGGTACGATGATGGGGAAGTTCTCAGTGGCACTGCTCGTTCTGCTCCTGCAGCTCTTTTCTGGCTGCACAGGAAGCCAAAGGTTTGCGAGGGCTGCCTCCATACAGTTCACCCACTCTGTTTACAATGCCACCATATATGAGAACTCTGCTGCTAAGACCTACCTGGAAAGTCATACCAAGATGGGGATCTATGTCACAGACCCATCGTGGGAGATACGGTACAAAATAATCTCTGGGGACAATGAGAACTTGTTCAAAGCGGAGGACTACTTGTTGGGAGATTTTAGTTTTTTACGAATAAGGACCAAAGGAGGCAGCACTGCCATTCTTAATCGAGAGGTTAAAGACCACTATATGCTCACTGTCAAAGCTTCAGAGCGGAGCACCAATTTGGAGTGTCGCACGAGAGTGAAAGTGCAGGTACTGGACACCAATGACCTGAGGCCTCTCTTCTCACCGACATCCTACAGCATCTCTCTACCAGAGAACACGGCCATACGCTCAAGTGTGGCCAAAGTCATGGCAACAGATGCAGACATCGGTACGAACGGAGAGTATTACTACAGCTTCAGAGAGTGGACGGACATGTTTGCTGTTCATCCGACGAGCGGGGTGGTGACGCTCACCGGCAAACTGGACTACTCTGAGACAAAGCTGTACGAGCTGGAGATCCTGGCCGTGGACAGGGGCATGAAGCTGTACGGCAGCAGTGGCTTCAGCAGCATGGCCAAGCTTACCGTGCGGGTGGAGCAGGCCAACGAGCATGCGCCTGTGATCACTGCGGTAACCTTGTCGCCCTCCGATGCAGATCACGACCCGACGTACGCTGTTGTGACAGTGGAAGACAAAGACCTGGGACCAAATGGAGAGATTTCGTCACTGAGCGTCGTGGCCGGCGACCCACTGCAACAGTTTAAGGCTGTAAGAAGCAGCCCTGGGAGCAAAGAGTATAAGATAAAAGCTGTGAAGGAAGTGGACTGGGACAGCCAGCCATTCGGATACAACCTCACCTTACAGGCAAAGGACAAAGGCACCCCACCTCAGTTTTCGTCTGCTAAACTGGTACACATCACCTCTGCGGAGTTCCAAAAGGGTCCGCCGGTATTTGAAAAGGCAGTCTACAGAGTCAATCTGAGCGAATTTGCCCCTCTTCACACACCTGTGACGATGGTGACAGCTGTGCCACGATATCCCCATCAGAATTATGCCTTTAAGCACAATTCTGACAAGAACAGATTCAGCATCAATGCAGATACTGGCTTAATCAGCACAGCAGGACCAATCAATGCTGATATTTCGGCACAGTATGAGCTAGAGGTGATCACCAGTGACAAGAAAGCAGCCACGAAAGTGATTGTTGATGTGATTGATGTGAATAATAATGCACCGGAGTTCCAGCAAACATCCTACAAGGCCAGTGTTGATGAGAACGTACCTAGTGGGACCAGTGTGGTAGCAGTCAAAGCCACTGATCTAGACAAAGAGGAGAATGGCTATGTGACCTACAGCATTACCAACCTGAGTCCCCAGCCTTTTGTCATTGACTACTTTTCTGGTGTCATCACCACTTCAGAGGTCCTGGATTATGAGCTCATGCCCAGGATTTACAATCTGAAAGTCAGGGCAAGTGACTGGGGATCCCCTTTCAGAAGAGAAGTGGAGGCATCGGTTACCATAACGTTAAATAACCTGAATGACAATAAGCCTTTGTTTGAAAACATTGACTGTGAGGTCACTGTGCCAAGGGATCATGGGGTGGGAGAGCAGATTACAACAGCTTCTGCCATAGACGCAGATGAACTGCAGCTTGTACGGTACTTCATTAAATCCGGGAATGATCTTGATCTATTTGAAATGAACCCAAACTCCGGCCTGCTGTCACTGAAGCGCACACTTAGTGAGGGGGAGGCGGCAAAAGTGTCATTTCATAGTTTACAGATTGTTGCAACCGATGGGGAACACGAGACTCGGCCAATGACCATGAACATAACTGTCATCACAGCACGCAAGCCCGTCCAGGTGAGATGTGTTGAAACGGGTGTCGCCACCATGCTGGCCGAGAAGCTGCTGCAGGGAAGCAAAATCCACGGCCAGACTGAGCCAGAGGATACCTACATGGACATTTATTCAGTCAACCGGTACGCCCCTCTGTTTGATGAGTCTTTCCCAAGTTTTGTTGAAGTTAGAGAGGACCTTCCTGTTGGAGCTCGGGTCATTCATTTAAGTGCAACAGACCCAGACAGTGGCTTCAATGGAAAATTAGTGTACGTTATTTCAGGGGGAGACACAGAAAGTCGTTTTATTGTCGACATGGAAACCGGTTGGCTGTTAGTTTACTCTCCACTTGACCGTGAAATGACAGACCACTACACCCTCAACATTACTGTTTACGATCTCGGGATACCACAAAAATCTTCTTCACGCCTGTTGGACGTGAAGATCCTAGACACCAATGATAACAGCCCTCAGTTTTTGAAAGATTCCTACTCGATTGAAATAAGCGAGAGCACAGCGGTTGGGACTGAAATTATCCAGGTGGACTCAACAGATAGGGATCAGGCGGACAATGGAATTGTCAAGTACTCCATTTTAGGGGGCACAGATCATTTTGCCATCAATGAGATAACCGGAGTGGTGACTGTGACGAAGCCGCTGGATCGGGAGCGCTATCCGTTTTATGTTTTGAAGATTGCAGCACGAGACCAGGCAGTGAGTGAGCCTCAGTTGGTGTCCACAGTTCCTCTTAAAATTACCCTGGAAGATGTGAACGATAACCCTCCCAAATTTGTTCCTCCTAATTACCGTGTTAAAGTGAGAGAAGACCTTCCTATCGGTACTGTAATTATGTGGCTGGAAGCGCACGACCCTGACGTTGGCGCTTCCAGTCAAGTACGGTATAGCCTGATTGATAATGGAGATGGCCACTTTGAAGTGGACAAACTCAGTGGAGCGCTTCGGATTGTCCAAAATTTGGACTATGAGACTAAACAGGTGTATAACCTGACAGCCAAGGCCAAAGATAAAGGAAAGCCAATATCTCTGTCCTCGACCTGTTTCATTGAGGTGGAGGTGGTGGACGTGAATGAGAACCTCTACAGGCCTTTCTTCCGGTCATTTGTGGAAAAGGGATTTATAAAAGAGGACGCCCTCATTGGCACTTCTGTGATGACTGTTTCAGCTGAAGACGAAGACTCAGGACGAGACGGAGAGATTCGCTACTCCATAAGAGATGGATCTGGCTTAGGATTTTTTTCCATTGAAGAAGAAACTGGTGAGTGCTTGTGTTATATACATCTATTTATTAATCTAGGAAAAGTCAATAAGTTAAATGGTGTTTGATTCATTTATCGGCAGAAAATAGTGGTACTTTTGGTTTTGTTGCATTTCATGAATCGCACAAAATACCAGATTTGTAAGTATTTCACCTATCGACTGCCAATTAACCCATTAGGGGAAACCTGCCATCTGTTGCCAATTGATTGGTACATCATTCAAGAAAGTTTGGATAGTTGACTTTGACATGTTTTCCTGTGTGAAACTGTGGTCTAAGAGAGTTTCCTTTTACAGGCTAGTTTCTTATTCCAGTCATTTTTTTTTCCTTTTTGTGAAAGAACTGATGGCAGGAACAGATGGAGCAGCTGTTTCTCAGACCTTTGTGTGCATTCCTGTGTAGTTACCTTGGTTGTAAAAAGATTTGGATTGATTTCACTTGCTTTTTTTCCCAACCAACCTTTTATGATACAGATGCTTCTCAAAACAATTTCTGATATAAAAGTTTTCCAGTTTGTTTTGACTACAAAAATCAGCTCATACTACACTATATTCTTTATTATTATTTTATGGATCTAGCTAAATTAATGTTAATACATGCTCTGCTGTCTTTAATGATTTCAACAGCTGACTCAAATTATGTCCAAATATTCAGCCTGGAATGCTAATAAGATCACCTGAGTGAGAGATGGAGGACCTCTTTAGCTGCCCTTGTATTTTTTTTTGTTTCACTCTTAGCTATCTTAAAGTGACTTTTTCTCTATTTTTAATTAAAGCTCTCTTTCTGCTATACATATTTAATATTTGACTGAGGCAGTGAAACGTTATGTATAATATATTGGTTTTGCACTTGCAAGTGCATGCTGGTTCATCTCAACAAGGAAGCCAGGAAAAAGCAATTTATCAGTTGGCTGCTTCACCTGTTTAAGAGACGGTTTATACCTACGGGTCAATTGAGATGCATGTGAATAATTCAACAGGTTGACAGGAAGTCTCTCCAGGGAAACTCTGTGGGAAAGACCAAGCTGGTAAATTCAGCATGGGTTGAGTACTCCAGGTTGTTTGTTTCTGTGATTGTTCTGAGATATCTAAAATGCAACACAATTTTATTTTATGAAGATGGATGCTGGAGTATATAAACCCTGGACTAGATATTGGATAATTGTGTGCTTAGAAATGGTTTTCTGTGCACTCATTACAAAAACTGTGACATATGTGGCACTGAGTTACAGAAAAGATTTTTAACGGGAGTCTGTATGGTCTTACTTTTTATCGCTGAGTGCTATTTCCAACATCTGAACAGCTTAGAGAGTGAGAACATTTGGAGAAAAACAATAAAAATGTTTACAATTTAAGTTGTTGAGTACATATCTTGATGTAGTTGTAAACTCAGTTTACAACTACATGTAAATGTAATCATTTAGACAGAAATCAGTCACCTGTAATTTCCCCTTTTAGTTAATTTTGCTCTGTTTGAGTAGTACAATAAAAACGATTTCCATTTATCATTTTAATTATAGCAAAATTAAAATTGCAAGGAAATTGGTCCTTTAAATATTCAGAACATGCTACACAAAAGTGACAAATTTCACAATTATTCTGCTTTGGAAGCAATATAATTTTTTTACTACTGTAGGGTTTGATGAAACCATCACCATCCAATCAGCATTTGAAACCTGTTGCCCATATGGTGTGACATCACACATTGCAAACATACAACTCGTCTGGTTAGTCTCTGTTTTATGTCTCTTTAGAAATGTTATTTGACAAGCGAGACAGCAGGAAGTGTAGACATCAAAGGAGATGAAGGACAATAGCAATTTTCTACAGCTGCATTCTGTTGTCTGTTGCACATGAAAATCAGACTGCTTACAAAGAAAGAGAAGCAACGCTGGCAGAATTTTGGAAGATTTCCTTGAACTGTCGCCAAAATCAGCATATTTGCCTGTTTTTATGTGACACACAATGAACTTCTCAGAATAAAGTCAGGAGTTCTTGAACGATAAAATTATAAATGTTACATAATTTACTTTATCCTTGATCCTTAAAGTCAGATCAAGCACTTTCACAAGATTGAAAGGCCACATCTAACATCAAATCTGCAGCGAGACACAAATTCTAAGCCCATAGCTGTTATCATCTACTTAATTTCAGAGGCCTTTATTAAGTGATTATCAAGAGGTGCAATAGTAGGCTTGTCTTGGGCTGGGTCCTGTTATTATGATGTATTTCTGAGGTCAGCAGACAACTAAGTGGAGCCGAGGTGGCAATGCCCCTCCCAAGACTTAACTAGATGAAGGGTGAGGTTTGTTAACGGAGCTATACGTGTTTGGAATATACTGGGAGCTGCACCTGCATGTTGTGAATTCTAACCAGAATGATGTAAAAAAAAAAAAAAAAAAAAAAAAAAGGAAGTCTGCCCAAAACCAAACACCATCCAGCTATGAAATGTGTTTCCCAGCAAGGTTTCTTGCCATCAGTCCGCCCGGGGAGCCGATAGCAACTGTTTTCCCAGACATTCTCTCCTTTATTAAAAGCTCTGTGGTCACTGGATTATTGCCATTTTAATTTAAACAGAGTCTCATCATGGCTTCCTCCCCTGCTGTACACCACATTTACCTTCCAAGGCTTCTATTGATATGTTTGCTTCAAGCCATTTTCAGTTTGTGGCACACTTTCCAAGTGTTTAAATCATACACATGCAAAGGTTTCATCAACAAACAGTATCAGTTGGTTTAATTCTTAAATTGAACTGGACAGTAAAGTTTGGTCTTGCTTTGAGAGCGTGTTCTGTTTAGTTGATACTGATATTTAGTTTTCTTTTACGTTTATCTGGCTAATTCTTATTGCGAACATTTGAAAACTTATTTGAGGCATGTTATTTGACAGATGGAAGAGTTTGAATTCAGCCAAAAATGAAAGAATTAAAAGATTATTCATGCTCATATGCCAAAGTATTTGTTTCCAACCTCAAGTCGATATTTATAAAAGCACATACTGTTTCCTGATAACCTTATTGATCAAAAATGAGGATGTAATTTTGCAAGTAAAAAATATTTAAAGTGAATCAAGACAAAATGCTTCAATTACATTCTCTGATGATATACTTACCTTATTTTGTAATTTGGGAAACCTTGTCACCTCTAAAAATGCTAAATAGCAATATGTAGCAATGGAAGAATTTGTAGATGATCAATACTTTTGCATCTTACCATTTGACTGCATTTCCATTTTTTCTTAATGTTCACCACTTTCTATTGGATGATTCATTTAAAGATGGAAAATTGTTAGTATTCAGAGTTTTGATGCACTCAAAGACTAGATATTAAAAAGACAAGATTTTTATCCTGATGAAACTTTATTGACAAATGACTTATAATAAACAGTCTGTGCAGGAAGTACTGTTTTTGTACAATAACTGCTCTATGTGTGTATATATAGAAGTACAATATTGAACTATAATTTTAGTTTCAAACTTGTTTGGAGCTGAAACACAAGCACTTTCCCTCACCCCAAGGAAAAAGTAAAGTTCTTTTAGATTTAGATTTATAAATCACAATTTCACAACTCCGAATTTTAAGTTTTGGAGTTGATCTACTGCAGTGGAGTCCTGAAGAGTTTGCTTCCAAATTAGCTCTTATTTTTCCTCCTCCTTTTATGTCTCTTAAAGCCATTTTGTCAGACTTCACGTGAAAACAACCAATTTGCTGTCTGAAGGGCCGACGGCGGCAAATGAGCTACTAATCTTGTGGTTGACAGATGAGTGCGGTCACAGCAGAGCTAAATTTAAGGATCTTGCAGCAGTCAACCTTAGTGTTTGCAGAGATCACAAAGGCAGGATGCATCAAACTGAACAGAATAAGGAGAGATCCCGAAACCTTTACTCCCTCTTACCTCTACTTTATACTTTCACAGTGTTTTACTTCTGGTTTTTGCAGGTTGACTTGAATTGATCAAAAAGAGAGAAACAACGTTCCATTATTTGAAAAAAAAGTTGTGATTTTATTAAACCCAGTCCTCCTAATACCGATTTTTATAGCTTTGCCCTCACCATGCAATGCTAAGCTAAATATTTGGCTGTAGCGTAAGGCACTGAAGGACTACATGCTATATGTAGGTCAGGTGTAATCTTGGAAAAGCTGTCTTTGCATGTAACTGCCTTGAAAACGTGTCTGTTGAAAATAAGTTGCAAACATTTGAAGTGTTAATAAAATTCCCAAAAACGGGAGGCAAAGAGAATAATATTAGATTTACCTCATAAACAGCCCAGTTAATTTCTTAAACTGAACATATATACTTTTGCATCAGTTGTTAAAAGTAACTGTTGATTTATGTTGTACTTTTAAGTTTTTATTATCTATTTATTCAGTTGTAATCTTTTTATAATTTTATGGCCCATGCTTCTGACAAATTTTAAGTCTAATTGTCCATGCAATCTTTATATCCGCATTACATTTAATTTAATAGCTGATGCTTTGTTTTGACTCATTTGAAGTTCTTAGTGTTGCCCTGGTTGGATATGAAAAATGCTTCAACATTAAAGACTGACAGCTGCTGGAGTGGTGGAGGGAGATGACTTAGGCGAGGAGGAATTAGAGTCTCGTTTGTCATTCTGTCATTGCTCTGTGACCCAACAAATCATTTATTGTATGTAAAGCTGAAGAATGTAACAGATGTAAGAAAAAGTGTTTCATATATTTACTAAAACTGTCACTGTGTCGTGACAGTAGAACATGAAACAGATCATTTGTAGATAACAGGAACTCCTCTGCCCTAACAGTCAGAAAATAATCAATCAGTGGCAGGAGGAGGGTCTTGGTGATGTCAATCACATTTGTGTATGTGCTGCTCATTGTGCTAACAGCAGAACAAACATTACAAGAAAACTGTTTATCTGCTGCCGTCAGTGGCCATGCTAAGTAGCTTGAGCATTCATGTCAGACTCGAATGTAATGAAATGACTGTAGCATAGCAGAAGCAAGGGGAGAGTGTATGAGCAGC